GGGCCGCCGTGCTGTCGACGGCCGACCTGGGCCCGACGCAGAGTCGTGCCTTGGGTCAGCCTCACTGAGGATGGCGGGCGAGGCGAGGGGGGATTTGGCCAGCACCTTGTCGACTCTGGTGCGCGAGGGTGGTCGCTGGACAGGGGGCTGGGGTTGAGTGGGTTTGGAATTGAAGTAGTCTCGCGGGGCATTCACGGATTGCAGGTTGGGGGCAAAGAGGCTGGCTGCGGAGGGCGAGTTTGCGGCAGAGCTGCTGGTGGGCGTGTTTGGGTCGTAGACGGTCGAGGGTAGCAGGACGGGGGGCAGTTTGGGCAGCCTGGGGGGTGCAGTGCCTGTGGGCGGGGGGTCATGGACCGGGGAGCGAGGGCGGGAGCGGCGGGGGCTAGAGGTGGGCGAGCGGGCGTTGGAGTTGTGCAGCTTGCTTGAGCGGGCGGGCGGCGAGGAATGGATGCGAGAGGAGTCGTGCGGGTGTGGTAGGGCGCCATTGGCGGCGCCGGTGGTAGAGGTGATGCTTAGCTTGCGCGAGTAGCTTGGCTGGTGGTGATGGACTTGGTTGTGGTGGTAGGGCTGATGGTGCGACTTCCCCTCATGGTCGGCCAACAGGCCAATTGCCTCTGCTGCGCCGTTGGCTGCGCTCGACCGTCGCCTGGAAGAAGCCGAAGGGGGCGGTGTGGCCCGGCTGTGGGGTTTGGGCGAGGTGTGTGGGTGAGGGTTGGCGGCGTCCTTGAGTGAGGCTGACCGCTTGACCGCTCCCACCGACGATGACTGCCGGCGGTGATGCGACTGCGGGTGCGACTGCGACTGCGACTGCGACTGCGACTGCGACTGCAGCGACAACAGCTCGTCTGTTCCTGGCAGCGGTTCTGCGCGCACCTCTGCTGCACCGGCGGCGGGCTCGCCCTGGGGGTTCATGGTGGAGAATGGAGCAGCTGGGTGCGTGTCTCAGGCCGAGCCAGCGGTTAATGCACAGCGGATGCGGGCATGGTTGCCCAAGCAGGAACGCGCTCTGGGCGTGCAGAGACAAGAGGCGGGCAGGGCGAGAGCGTGTGGTTGTGGTTGTGGTTGTGGTTGTGGAATGGGTGGGTGAATGTATGCAGTGGGTGCGTATGTGGGAGTTGGGGTCGTGTCTCTCGTAGTAGTAGGGCAGGGCTCGTCTCGCCGTCAGTCATCAAGCAAGAGACCCCTAGCCACTCTGCACCACCGACAGGCACAGCACAGGCACACCAGGCCAATCCACGCTCCCTCACACACACAGACGAATGTGGAGCGGCGACGGCCGGCCACATGGCGCCAAGTCGTATCGGTATGGCTGTCAGGGGTGCGTGGACCCAAGCCGGCCTAGCGTACGCCCATCTCGCTCGACTTGTCTCTGTGCTCACCCCTCTTGGATCTCTCCTCTCCTCGCGCGCCCTCATCAGCCCGGCTGGTTCCAGGTCCACCAGGCCGTAAGACAAATCTGCTCAGGCCCCAACCAGACCCTGCAAATCCGTCCCTACCACGCCCGGTCAGGATTGCCGCCCCGTATTCTAGAAGCCTGCGCCTTGTCCTCGTCACCAGTTGCCAGTCTTGCCAGTCCGTTCCTCAAGTGCTGACGCACTACTCATGTTCGCGCATACATACGTTCATCTCACGCCCTCCTCCACTTTTTTCTGGGCCTGTCTGCACGTCCTGCTGCAATCTCTCGGTCCCGGTTGACCAGCCTTTCCGGTCCGACCACTGCCATCAAGGGGCGGCCCACTCTACGCCTCCGACGCCAAAAGCATCCCCACCACCAAAAGTAACCTCCATACCAAAACACTTAGACGCGCGCGCTTACCCTCTCCAACTCTTCCAAAATGCCATCATGCCCCATGTGGTTCCTCCCCCTACTGTTTGCTTCTTCTGCTTCGTCACGACACCCAATCTGGCATGCATCGAATCTCTACTCGATTGGCTCATCCTTGTCTTTGTTCCATCTGCTGTTTCCATGCTCATCGTCATCGTCATCATCCTATGCTAACCCCTACTAATACTGCCTGTCTCTTCACTGCCACAAGCTACTTCATGCGTTACCCTCAGCAACCCACTGGTACCGCACCGACCGGCCCAGTCATGCCAATCATTTATCCTCATCTATCCTGCCTTGGCCACCTGCCCTCTCAACTCTCCCATCCTTACCACCACCCTACACAACCCGCCCTTACCGCCTCCTTAGTGCAAATCCCCCATCATGTCCTCCTCCGCCTCCAAACCATCGTCCCACGCAGTGTCCATGGCGTCTCCGTTGTTGCCCTGCCTCTTGTTCACCCGCTTCTGGTTCTCAATGTACTCCTTGCTTAGCGTCATCCGGTAGTCGGCATCCTTGACCTGCTCCGCCAGCTTGTTTGTGCGGACCGTTTGCGCAAATAGCGCCTGCTGCTGCTCCTTCTCGCTCTTGGCCAAGGGTCCCTGTTTCGCGTCCAGGTAGAAGCGTAATACCACCCCAGCTTCCGACTTGTCACTCTCCTCCAACCGCCCGTTCAGATGCCCATCCCTGATCAGCCCCTCAATATACTGCGACATCTCCTCCCCCGTAGCCCCCAGTTGTCTCGCAATATTCGACACTGGAATCGCAGAGTATGTCCGTGACAGCCGTGAAACATACGTCCTCGTCTGGCTGCTAATAAGCTCTCGGACTAGGCCCGCATTGCCATCCTACATGCTTTTGTCAGCCCTCCATCAAAACATGCTATCCCACCGTTTCAACCCATGTTTCACAACAATCACCTGCATCTCTCTTACCTCTGCCCATATCTCCCCACCCGCTTGTGCCTGAGCCTTCAACTTGGACATGTTGTCCAGCTCTTCGTACGCATCCGCAAGCGCCTCGTATGCCTTCGATGCAGCCTTGATGTTCTTCATCGCGCTAGCATTCGCTGTCCGTGGAATACTCCCCATCTATCCTCGTCAGCTGGCGCTTGCTCTTCTCTCTCTCTCTCTCTCTCTCTCTCCCATAACATACCTTTCCCTGTACCAGACAACTCACTAGTACCCACTTTTTGTAAGCCTCCAACATGAGACCGTTGGCCGTGTTGGCAGAGGGAACCACGAGCACGTGCTCAAGAAACTGTTGCGCCTTTTTGAATCGCCCCAGGCCTAGGTACGCCATGGCCCCCAAGACATAGTACTCTTGTATATCCGTCAACCCAACCCGGTCCGTATGGCCAGAGTTTTGGTGGATGTACTCTCCACTACTCGCAACATCCGCGCATGGAACAGAGTACTCCAGTCCCTCACGAACCACACTTGGAATCTTTGGGGGGAGTGTGTGAATGTAGTTGTCCAGGATGGGTTCAGCGGCCGCGTACGATCGCGTCTCTAGACACAGGTGTATGAAGCTAACGTGGACCGAGGTGAAGGTGCCCGTGGTAGGGTCAAGTCGTATCATGGCTGATCGTATTGGCGCAATAGCAAGGCTCGGCTGGACATGGTCAGCATCTTCTCCTTGTGCCAGCCATGGCAACTTGAACCTACTGATCCACATCCACGTGCTATCTCCTCTGTGTACTCAATCAAGTTCTTCCACTCTTTTCCCACATAGCGCAGCTGTATAGGATCCGCAGTTTCGAAAAACAACACCATCTGATTCCACAAGTCACCTCCGGGCTGTAGTGCTTCGGGTACGCTCTTCTTCTCCAGCAGGGCGGCGATACGGTTGCGAAGGGCAAAGGCATATGCCATTGAGTTGACAGCGGGGTTGAGTGTCTAGAAAATTAGCAAGTTTCAACCAAGTGCCTGGAAGCATACCCACTACGAGCACATCTTGTGGTGTATCCGCGCCTTTTACCCAATGTGGTGCAGAGACGTTGGACAATTGTGCGACAAAGCTGCGGGCCTTGAGGTCATAATCCCGCCTCTTTTCAACCTCGGGACTCTCAGGCTGAAAAGACAACAGTAAGCTGCTCAGGTCAGCCGACATGGTCGCAGTGGGGTCGAGTAGTCTGGGTGGTCGAGCGAGTAGCTGAGGCGGCGGGCGGCGATGATGTGGGGGTGGGTAGATGCCCTCTCACTCTTCCTCTCTATCTTCCAATACACTGAGGTAAAGAGTGTCGTATTCTGTTGTAAGTAAGCTTTTTGTCGCTGCCGGCATACACAAAGCAAACAAGCGGGATGTCAAGAGAAGAAGTGGCAGTGGGACAATTGTATGCAGTGTACCCAGTACAGAAGCCGGAGGTGTACAAGCTCCCCGCAAGCTCAAGGCACCCACGCAAATGCACGGACGCAAACACCAGAATACCACTACCCGGTGGCACCGCACTTACATCATATCAAGTCAACCCAGGCCCACGCGACACAACACCTGGAATGCTCTTATTCAATTCTCTTCCCATAAGACACAAGTCCAAAAAAAATATAAATCATTGCTCATAAAGGTATCACGTACGTCTAGTCATGTCAAACAACTCCCAACCAATGCAACCCCCAAACTCTACAATCGTAATCCTTATCTCCGCTTCACAACTTCCTCCATCCGCCTGACGAGCACCTTGAGACCAACACCTTTCTCGCAGTTGTTCTCAAGATACTCCTCCATCTTCTCTCTTAACTCCTTCATCCCCTTGAGCACCGGCAGTCGCCTTCCCTCTTCGCCCTCAAGATGCATCAGCGGGTTCAGCAACAAGTCAAAGCACTCGTGCCAAATCTCAATCTGCCAGTACCGCTTCAAGTTCTCCTTGATCTTGTACGTCTTGGTCGCGCCTGAGCCCAGAGTAGCACCCCGTTCAGCAACTGCCGAGATGTACTTTCCAAACAGGAGATTGTGCACAATGCCAGCAAGGCCGTGGTAGTCGATTTGGTGAGTCCAAGGCCGCAGCTCACGCATCTCGGCGCAGTCAGCCTCGGTCGTCGGCCAATCCGCGATAAATTGCACTTCGGGCTTGAAGGCTTTCATGTCAATGCCCCGACCAAAGTCAATCAGCGAAATGCCCTTGGCAGACCACCCGTCACGCCCGTCGCGCTTGTACTCGGAATCCCAATGCTCATCCTTCTGTAGTGCGTCGAACCGTACCAGAACATTGTCCGACTTGAGATCGCCATGTATTATGCCCTTTGAGTGCAAAGCTTCTACTGTGCGGAATAACTCAACAGTGAAGAACATGGCCAGCTGCTCGTCCATTGTCCCATTGTCCGCGCAAGCATGGTTGACCAAGTCGAGCAATGTTCCTTGATTGCGATACTCTTCAACCAGATAGCACTCGTCCTTGAACACATGCATCTCATATGCGCTAACAACTGACTCGGCTGCTCGTGACACACCCAGTCGTCGTTTGGCCTGTCGCATAATGTAGAATTCCCATGGTGTTGGTGGATCTTCCATCTTGATTGCCTCCAGAGGTTGACGCTTCAAACCAAACTCACCCTTGCCCATTTGTGAAGGCTTATTCTCGTCGTTTTCCTCTGCTTCTTTACTCTCCACCAGGTACACTGGAGCAAATGCACCCTTACCAAGCTCACGCTTGATAACATAAGTCCGCTCTGTCCCAGGAAACTCCAAGGTAGGACATGCCCCGACATTGGCTGCTGTCTTGTCCTGCGCATTCTTGCTCAATTTTGATACCGCTCTTGTGTACTTGCGAATATCCGCGCCTTTTCCATAACTTTGCTCAGTGTCGGCGTAATAACCTTCGTAGCTTTCCAATGGGGGTTGAATTTCTTGTAGGATAGCTTTGCGGATACTGTCATCGACTGGGTTGCACTGTGTGTCCTTGATGATCGGTCCACTAGGCTTGGCCACTGTAACTGGGGGCTCCTTTGCGGCCAATGGCTTGCGCTGCGGCTCGTCTAGAGGCTCTTTGGGCATTGGTTTCGATTCGGTCAGAGCTAGCTTTGCAACCTTGCCTGGCCCATCAATGACTTGTCCCAGAATATCAGAGAAGGGGCTACTGCAGGTCTCC